GCAGATTTCGTGGCAGGCGCAGCACTTTGTGAACCTCCAGGTGCAGATTTCGTGGCAGGCGCAGCACTTTGTGGACCTCCACGTGCAGATTTCGTAGCAGGCGCAGCACTTTGTGAACCTCCAGGTGCAGATTTCGTGGCAGGCGCACTACAAAATGCGTTTTGGAGAGATAGCGGACGCACGAAATGCTGTATTTTTCAAAAGAACCGGCGGCTTTAAACCTGGCAAGTCTAGCTCTGCGGAACGATGGGTGCGAGACGGTCTCGGGTCATTCTCGGATCATGCTTGGGCATGGTCGGAATCGTCCCTCCATTGGGATTAGAGTTTTCACTTGTTTCTTGAAGTGCAGATTTCGTGGCAGGCGCAGCACAATTTGGAACCTCCATGTCCGGATTTCGTGGCAGGCGCAGCACTTTGTGAACGTCCATGTGCAGATTTCGTGGCAGGCGCAACACTTTGTGAACCTCAAGGTGCAGATTTCGTGGCAGGCGCAGCACTTTGTGAACGTCCGTGCGCAGATTTCGTGGCAGGCACAGCGCATTGTGAACCTCCAGGTGCAGGTTTCGTGGCAGGCGCAGCACTTTGTGGAGCTCCATGTGCAGATTTCGTGGCAAGTGCAGCACTTTGTGAACCTCCAGGTGCAGATTTCGTGGCAGGCGCAGCACTTTTTGAACCTCCATGTGCAGATTTCGTGGCAGGTGCAGCACTTTGTGAACCTCCATGTGCAGATTTCGTGGCACGCGCAGCACTTAATGAACCTCCATGCGCAGATTTCGTGGCAGGCGCAGCACTTTGTGAACCTCCAGGTGCAGATTTCGTGGCAGGCGCAGTACAAAATACGTTTTGGAGAGAAAGCGGACGCACGAAATGCTATATTTTCAATAGAACCGGTGGCTTCAAACCTGGCAAGTCTAGCTCGTCGGAATCGTCCCTCCATTGGGATTAGAGTTTTCACTTGTTTCTTGAAGTGCAGATTTCGTGGCAGGGAAAGCACTTTGTGAACCTCCATGTCCAGATTTCGTGGTAGGTGCAGCACTTTGTGAACGTCCATGTGCAGATTTCGTGGCAGGCGCAACACTTTGTGAACCTCGAGGTGCAGATTTCGGGCCAAAACGCAATCTCACCTGCATTTCGCGCTCTCGACACGCACGCAGAGGGTTGCCCGCGCCAAATTCAAACGCAATCTCGCCTGCATTTCGCGCCCTGGACACGCACGATCTCCGCAGAGGGTTGCGTTTCGTTTTGCTCCGGCGGCACTGCCCCCGGCCTTAAGAGAGAAAGTGAAGAGCGAGAGGTGAAGATGTGAGATGTGCAGATGTGAGGATGTGAAGATGAGATGTAGATGTCCAGATGTGAAGATGAGAAAATGTAGATGTGCAGTGATGATATAGATGTGCAGATGTGAAGATGTGAACATGTAGATGTGTGAAGATGTGAAGATGAGCAAAGATATAGGTGAAAATGTAGATGTGCAGAGGTGAAGATGTGAAGATGTAGATGAGAAGTAGTTCTGCAGATGTTTTTTACGAAGAACCCTTCGCAGGCGCTCTCGGGGAAAACACCTATGATGTGCACTGTGCGATAGAACCAATTCAATTCAATTAATTAATGGACCTACCCATTTCGGACCATGTGTGGTTTTGTTTACTTGGTTGACCCTGCATGCATCCCACACGCATGCCTCATCTACAAAGGCCGGGGCGCCAGTGGAGGCACTCCAGCCTGTTCGCCTAGCGGAGCAGCCAAACGCGCTAAGCTACTTTGGGGGGATACCAAGTTATCACACGCAGGGTGAAGCCATCTATACAAACTCCAAGGTAAACCAGCCATGGCCGTTTGTATATCACCGTATACCATCTACATCTCTTGGCACTTCCCTCACGAAAACACAGGGTTAAGGAACACGTTTGTTCAAGCCTCAAATCGCTGAAATTGTACGTATAGGTGCCCAACATCTAAAGACTGCCAACGGCGAAAGTGAGGTAAGCCGGTAAGCAAAAAAAAACAAAAACACATGACAGGCCTCAGAGTGCTTGGAGCACTTGGCCTAAAGCGAGTCGTACTTCTATCGCCGCCGATGTTGACGATCATAGCGCCGATGCTGACGGCGGTTGCGGCGATTGTACCTGGCGGCCGCTCACAGGCACGGACACCATAAGAATCAAGCTCGAGTCCGACCTGAAGCGTCGGTCACCCCCCGTGGCTCAGCGAGGTGAAACCTGCGTTGGATACACCGTACGGGCTTCGCACCTTCATGTTGAAGGGTTAGGGTCATCACATGTGCCAGCTACACTGAGCCCTGTTGTGGTGTCCATCAGGCAAAGATATCAGGTTGACTGCTGTGGTCACGTTAGCAAGTGTGGGTGGGTCAAGACCCTGACACGATGAGATGGTAAAAAGGGAGGCCACAGACCCCGTGAGCTGGGCGGCGACCGGTTTCCAGAAGACTTCGAGAGCTTTTGTCTCCCTTGCCATGAAGGTGCATTGGGCTCCAGCTTCAACACTATAGAACATTGCCAACTCGAACCACAAGTCACTGCCCACTATACACGGAAGACGCAGCCTCAGAAGAGAGCTGAACGTCCTCCCTACGTTGACGCCGCCGCCACTTCCATGACCATCAAGATGCCCAGAGTCTTTTGCCCGGCGGTTGCAGTTCAGGACGCTTCAGTTTTTCCTTACTACAATATCAGCGTGCATAATGCGACGCACATAGTGAGTGCGCCTGGAAACCTCAGCTGTCCCATGGACAAGATCTTCTTCAAGGAGGCCCGGACATTCTTCTTTGGAAGGGGTCATGAAGGTGGGGGCATCACTTGCATTTCAAGATTTGGCCGGACGCGTCCAAGGGCGATGACAGTTGAGCCTCTGGCAGCCTCTGGACCTCCAGTGAAAAGACCGTTGCAAGAACCCGACGAGCCGAGGTCTTTTCTTCGTGTCACTGCTCTTTGCCGGAGCACGAACGGCTCCGTCTCCTTGACAAGAACTTAGATGGAGCGAGGAGGCCTTCAACAGGAAGTTCTTCCGACCATCATGCACCAATACGCGCGTCATTCAGCACCGATCAATTTCACCAATATGTGGGCCATGGCCGGGTCCAGGCACTCACAAGCATCAACCAACAACCGCTACTCTGAAGACAACAGCCTGCTCAGTGAGACTACGGCCACCCTCTCTACGCAACAGCCCGGGAGGCCCGCAATTAAGAAACTTACTGCGAGGGGCACCGCCTTAAGCTTGCAGCCGTGCAAGTCGTCCGGGGGTCAGGTTCAACACGCAGATTTTGTCGTGACTTTGGTGGCGGTTGCTGAATTGAGGAGCTCAGGAAAACTTCGGGCGAGGGCCCTACATCTAGCAAAAAAAAGCCCATGATGAGCAGCTGTCGATGATGACAGCCTGAAAATTGACTGACTGATCGCGGGCAGACTGGACAATTGGAGACCAACCAGCTTCGCGGGCCATGTGCGCAAAGCAGAGTGTACAAAACCACCACCACCCTCCGTGCGTCAGAGCACTCCCGGCTAAGGTTGATCCATGCTGAGGCTGATCACGGACGACGCAAGAGAAATTCACTTACATACTGAGGCACATCACACGAGCCAACCCTTTGATCAAGAGAGCTCAATGAATGACTTCAGTAGTCTGCCAAGGCAACGAGCCAGTTGCAAGGAGCCTGAACGGCTCACCAAAGCTGCTACCAGGCAGTTTGTGCTACTACACGAGCGCCAGCAAGAAGAACTGCTGAGCCCAAGATGAAGCAAACAAAGCCAACGCTCCACTTCATCAGAAGGACTTCACCACCTCACACCGCCACAATCACGACAGCGCGCTGGTGGAATATTCTCCTCACCCGCTGTGATCTCCAAGACACAGGTCCAAGTGCTGACTGCTGGGCGCGGGGCTAGCCTGGCAACATGGAATGGTAGCCAACCACTTCTGGTTACATGGCTGCCTTGAGCACCCCCGGCCTCATTCAAGATGGTCGCCCACTGCTTGGGCTTGTCTACGTGGCCCGAAATGGCTGAGCATGGCACCAGCTCCAACTGTGGCAAGATGGCACGGACACCGGACACCTGACGGGGCACACGGTGACAAAATATGTGGCGCCGGCACCACCGCAGGTGGGGGTGGTTACAAAGACTGCGCCATGCCACAAAGGCGACCTTTCCCTTGCGTCAGTTTCACCGAGTCCAAGGATCAGGTTGAGAGACAACTGTGACGTGAGGACCGAATCTCTCCTTTGTCCATGCTTACGTCCTTGACTTGAGCTTTCAGTTTGCTTTCCCCAATCGCGGTGAAGCTACAACATGACAAAACCTTTTGCATCCTTTTGCCTTGTATGGTGACTCAAGGTGCAGAAAAAATCAAGGCCTGCAGTCATTGAACGCCCATTCCCCGCCTGTAGTTGTACGGCTTCTTCGTAGTCGTGCCTGGTGCCGTTGTCGTCGTGATGTCTGGCGCTGTCGAAGTAGTGGGCGGCGTAGTCGGCGAGGTCGTTGGCGACGTAGTCGGCGAGGTCGTTGGCGACGTGGTCGGTGAGGTCGTGGGTGAGGTGGTCGGTGAGGTCGTGGGTGAGGTGGTCGGTGAGGTCGTGGGTGA